GGCATCTTGTTGACCTGAGGGAGAGTCCATGTGAGGTAAGAACAAAGGAGAACATATTTTAAGGAGCATTAGTTGAAAATATAGAGAGACCATATCGGGGATCACAACATATTTTGGGAGACCGAGTGATGTCAAGACTGAGTACAAGGTCCTTGTTGAGGATGGTTGTCAGAGGCCCGGCTCCAGGAATCTCACACCAAAGTATCTAAGGTATTTGAGTGACACCACTCCACCACTCTAGAGGATGACACGACTGGCTAAAGAAAATACTCCTAACAGTATCTTATCTTATCTATAATAAGGAAACACAAGCTTCCCACCCTGAGAAAGACATCAGAAGATTGTCAATATGGTGGATTTTCAGCAACTATCATTCCCCACTTACTGAATAACATCCAGATCCTCAAAGTGTTTTAGCTGTAAATGCTTGACTCTTCAAAACAGTTTCACTTCAATTCAAAATTAAAACACTAAACCAAACTTGATTAACAGAGTTGCTAAGTTAAAACTGAAGTACTGAGTTAGCTCAAAAGTTGACCTCTGGTAACCTCATTAAGGACGGAGATAAAAGTGACGCTACGTTCTCAGAGTTTACAGGCAGCTGCTCTGAGAGGACGGCGGAGCGTGAGATTCCGTTAAGTAATTGTCATTCTGTGAAAACATTAAGGCTCTTTATCGAAGCCTGCGGCCACAAACAGAGCTGAAAGAATGGAGCTCTTTATTTGCATATATTTACCCTGATGGCTTTTCCATTAGGATGAAGCACTCATCAGCATAATAAAACCGCTCTACCGGGAAGACGAACAAGTTGCATCTGGAGATGGTGGTGGAGGAGCTTGAGCCAGTATTTCAGGATTACTCAGACAGGCCTCAGGCTCCTGCACACAGAGGGGGGTGGTGGTGGGGGTCTTTGCATGGAGGTGAAGGACCAGGTAGAAGGTAGGCTTGAAATCTCCCACCTTAAAATTCATTAATACTGCATGAAGGCTGGAAAGGAAACTCCAATTAACAGCCATAGCTATGGAAAATTAATACTGCCATGTTAGACTCACATACGTATTTCATTACATGAGCATACCAAGACCATATTAATCTTGTCCAATAAAGGAGATCATCAGTTACTCATAAAAACCACAACATCTATCAGCAGCGTACCTCTCAGTCAGTGTACATCCAAAGTGTCACGTTTACAGAGTGGGCACATCTGTTCTGCTGCAGGTCATCAATAAGGAAACATTTTCTTAATGAATGTAAAAACACCTACAGCTACAATACATAATTCACACACAGACTTGGATTACATATGACACTTTAATTTATTTATCTCACAAGATGAGATTCAACATGAAGAAAAGCTCTGGGATCATGGATACAACAACTCACCACCTATAGAGTAAATCAGGGACTGTACAAAACATACTAGTGACTTTAACTTCTGCGGTCAAGAAGGGCAGATGATTTGCAACTCTAAAAAAACATATGCATGAGTCCAGAACAAAGGGAACGGTGGAAACACACTAGAAATGAAAAGTACAAAAGTGCAAAAGGCTGAAACAACTGCAACAGCTACATGCCACTGATACACAAAATCAGAAAATGAATGCAAAAGAGAACCACTATTTAGAGTGATAATCTGGCATAAGATTAAGTAAGGGTCAGACACGCCGTAACACCGAGTTAGACACCCCCTCGAGAGATGAATGTTGCAGACCGCTTGCTTCTCTAGTTATACCAACTTTAGTAATGACCGCACGATAGCAATACACAGCGGTATACATCTCCAAGAGGTTGCAAAACCTCAACCAAAACGCCACTCTATAGCCACAAATAATGCTCAGAACAGCACCTAACTTCATCAACAGTACATATAGGGTCCCAGCCACAGCACCAGCCACCAAACATCTTTTTAACTTTGCCTAATTTCTTTAGCAAAGAGACCAAACACAACTCACCCACTCTCCTCCAGCAGCCGCTTGTTTGTGGGGGAGCCCGGACGAGCCAATCACAGAGTGCAGCGGATCATTTCCAAGAAGTAATAATCATCATAATAATCATTTTGCACTGCAGAGCGTGGTAGTTCGTCTGCCTTAGCGTCTCGGTCTGATTGCATTTCCATGAAGTATTAATCATAAATGTTCCTTGAGCTGCGAAACTCCGCTGCACCCGGTGTCTAGCTCGGTGTTACGGTGTGTTTAACTCTAACTTAATTTTACACCGGAATATCCCTTTAAGGAAAAAAAAACAAAAAATCATAACTCTTTTGCAGAAGTGATCCAGACCTAAGAGGACGCTTAATAAAACAGCCTTGTTTTTAATAGGAAAGAGAAGACCAGACACTTTGGGCATGATTCACCTATAAAAGAGTGCAACTTTTGCTGCCATTTGACTGTGCAAATCAACCAAAAAGACAGTGTTAGACATGTATTACTAACTGTGCTGCAAAGCAAACAGCACCCCTGTTTGCTGGTCTGATTTGCACACATTGATATAAATCATGAAGCGTTTATTTAGAGCAACGTGTATCTCTCTTTCAGTGCAAACAAGCATCAGGACAACAACCAACTCATTCAGTAACCCGGACACTAAAAACTACGATTTGACCATCTGCAGTGACAGTATGGTGAATGTGCTGAAGCATCTTTGCACAAAAACTGTGGTGTGATCAGACATTGAATGGCTCTGTTATCTGCAAGTACACCATCGTTTGGTGGGAGTATTGCATTTAATCTACAAACTGACAACACAAGGCCTTTTTTTCTGCATGATCAGCCACCCACCTGACTGTTGCTGTTTACATGCAGCTCCACCTGTGTTACATATCATTTCAGTGATACATGGAGTGTAAACAGAGAAACATGGCTGTGGAAGTGATGCAGGGACATGTTGCAATTTCAGCAGCGTTGTCATTTTCAGCAGCGTTGGATGTTCCATTATCCATTACACACAGAGAGAGACACACAGATTTATCCGAGTGCTTAGGCCCAATATAAATGCTGCTCTGCTAATTGGATTATAAACTGGTGGAAAATGTAGGTTGCTGTTGGTGGTGACGGAGATGTTTCCTTTTTCCTGTGGGGCTGAACGAGTTTTCCTGACATCAATCAGCCCCACAAATTAATTGTTATTCCCTGAAAACATTAAGCCATGATTCAAAGAGCTGCCTCAGAAATCAATGCCAAGAATTATTAAAAGCTCTCCAACATCAGGATCATTTAAGTGTGATGGCAAGTGTGAAATCCAGAATAAATCCTCTCACAGTGAGAGCTGTGTGAAATGAGAGGAGGACAATGTATTAATCTCCCTCTGCAGTATTTATGAAAACTTAAAATCAGGATTTATAATGCTACTTCAAAACACTCTTCATATTATCACGTATAATTTATTCCTGTGCGTGTATATATGCGATTAAATGTTTTCTGTCAGAGCAGAGAGAGCAAGCAAGCTAGTCTTAACTTAAAACATGAATTTACAAAAGACATACCTTTGATTCTACATTTTTATTTTATTTTGACACAGAAGGGTTCCTGCATAATGTAAACTTCACAAGTTCTCTGCTGTGCACCTTTCGATTCAGACCTTCATATACACTCACCGGCCACTTTATTAGGTACACCTGTCCAACTGCTCGTTAACACTTAATTTCTAATCAGCCAATCACATGGCGGCAACTTAGTGCATTTAGGCATGTAGACATGGTCAAGACAATCTCCTGCAGTTCAAACCGAGCATCAGTATGGGGAAGAAAGGTGATTTGAGTGACTTTGAACGTGGCATGGTTGTTGGTGCCAGAAGGGCTGGTCTGAGTATTTCAGAAACTGCTGATCTACTGGGATTTTCACGCACAACCATCTCTAGGGTTTACAGAGAATGGTCCGAAAAAGAAAAAATATCCAGTGAGCGGCAGTTCTGTGGGCGGAAATGCCTTGTTGATGCCAGAGGTCAGAGGAGAATGGCCAGACTGGTTCGAGCTGATAGAAAGGCAACAGTGACTCAAATAACCACCCGTTACAACCAAGGTAGGCAGAAGAGCATCTCTGAACGCACAGTACGTCGAACTTTGAGGCAGATGGGCTACAGCAGCAGAAGACCACGCCGGGTGCCACTCCTTTCAGCTAAGAACAGGAAACTGAGGCTACAATTTGCACAAGCTCATCGAAATTGGACAATAGAAGATTGGAAAAACGTTGCCTGGTCTGATGAGTCTCGATTTCTGCTGCGACATTTGGATGGTAGGGTCAGAATTTGGCGTCAACAACATGAAAGCACGGGTCCATCCTGCCTTGTATCAACGGTTCAGGCTGGTGGTGGTGGTGTCATGGTGTGGGGAATATTTTCTTGGCACTCTTTGGGCCCCTTGGTACCAATTGAGCATCGTTGCAACGCCACAGCCTACCTGAGTATTGTTGCTGACCATGTCCATCCCTTTATGACCACAATGTACCCAACTTCTGATGGCTACTTTCAGCAGGATAATGCGCCATGTCATAAAGCTGGAATCATCTCAGACTGGTTTCTTGAACATGACAATGAGTTCACTGTACTCAAATGGCCTCCACAGTCACCAGATCTCAATCCAATAGAGCATCTTTGGGATGTGGTGGAACGGGAGATTCGCATCATGGATGTGCAGCCGACAAATCTGTGGCAACTGTGTGATGCCATCATGTCAATATGGACCAAGCTCTCTGAGGAATGCTTCCAGCACCTTGTTGAATCTATGCCACGAAGAATTGAGGCAGTTCTGAAGGCAAAAGGGGGTCCATCCCGTTACTAGCATGGTGTACCTAATAAAGTGGCCGGTGAGTGTATATTAAAGTATGTAAAAGTATGTTTTACTCATAAAAAAAGGCTGTTGTTTTCAGTATACGATTATAAAAGATAACCAAACTATCACAGCCCCACTCAAGTCCATTCCCATTGGAGATACACAGTCTTTCATGAGAAATACTTGACTTAAGCACTACAAACTAGAGTAATGTATGACTGAGGTCTTAACACATTGGGCTCTATTTTCGTTCGCGCCGGTGAGGCGGCGGAGGGCGGCGAGCCCCGCGCAGTTGTATTTTCGTCTGGCGGAGCCCGGCGTAAGGCGAGTTTGGTATTTTCGTGGACTGAGTCGCACGGAGGCGAGCCGAGATCCGCCAAGCTGGGCGTGGTGGCGTGGCAGGGGGAGGTGTTGACAGAATCAGCAGGCGCAGTGACATTTTCGTGCTCGCCACCGGTGTGTAACGTGCGCTGAAAGCTCGCCGATTCAAACCTGGTCAGCTTTCAGCGCAAGGCGGAACGCAGCTGGTCTAGTAGCATTTTGGTAGACCGGCGGCGTATTGACATACGTCACTGATGCCTCACCGGCAGGTTTCCACAGTGTCAGGCAGATTTCAGTGCAATAAGTAATCACCAACAACTATTAATCTGAGTCAGCACATACATTTAGATCTATATCGATATATTCTGATCTATATCTGATCTGATGAGCACGTTTGGCACGCGTTTGGACACACAACCTGACCGAATCAACACAGCTGAAACCGCATCAAATTAAATTAAATATCTAGTAAATAAACACACATGATGATGTTAACAAGATATGTAATGTGTCTCCCTCCTTTTCTTTCTTCCTCTTATTTCTCGCACAGCTCGACCTGGACACGTCTCCGTGTCCTCTGTCCGTCTTGCTGCAGCTGCTGCGGCTGAACAGATGATTTGTTTCAGTGCTCAGATGCGTTATCTACTTTAAGCCGACATACGGATATTATAATATTCAGTTTTGTGGGCCAAATTTATTTTATATGCCAACATCTATGAAAGAAAGAGCCAGGCCACGGAGCGCGATGGGTCATTTACGCACAGATGGTTCCGATTTTAATGCCATTTTTGGAGTTTATGTTGTGATCTGTGCGCTAAACCCACCTTTGTCACGTGAGGTTTAAATATATGCAACTTTATGTGAGTGTCTTTATTTGTGGAAAAGGGTGTTTGTCTTACCAGTGGGTCCAACATTACACACACCAAATCCATCTGTGCTCAGATGAGAGAGTGTGGAGGACACTTGTTGAGCAGCTGCCCTCTGTCGCCATCGTGTGGCATAACTGTCTTCAGACATCTCTTGATCTCTTTGACTACTTCATGAAAATAGTAATACGCCTCGCCTGTGGCGGATTTAAAGGCAAGGAGAGGAGCTTATGTGATTGGTGAAAACAGGTCTCGGCTGTGTTAAACCCACTATACGCCCTCTCTCCTCCCCGTCTGCCGGGAGGAGCTGAGTTAGGGAGGGGGGATACTTACGCCGGGCTGCGCGGCTCACCAAAATACCAAAATGTGCTTGGGAACGCCTTGTCAGCGCGGCGGATCTGATTGATGCTGCGCTTGCGGCACGTCTCCGGCGAAACATGATAAACATGATATTGTCTTGTGTCTGTCATGTTTGCTCATTTATTCCAAAAACTAACTTCTTAAAATTTTGTTTTACAGTAAGAGCCGCCCATATTGTGCTGTGACTGGTTTCTAAAAGAGAGAATAGAGACAGCAGTAATCTTGACCCGATATCTGCAGAATTAGGTGTCTGTGCACACTTTTACTTCTGATGGCACAGTTTAGATTAGATGCGCGTGCCATAGGCTGTATGACAAATGGATGCAGGGTCGCTGAAATCACCCATGTAGTTGTACAACAGAGTTCTGAAGCCTATTGACAGAGGTTGCTGTATTATTAATGACTCAACCCAGTTTTCAGGTGACCTATAGCACCCCTTTTACTGTGAACTGTAAGCCTAGCTAATGTGCTAGTTCTTTTGTCAGTTTCTCAATAAAGGGGCAGAACTGACCAGCCTCCGTTACGGCTAAAACGCCATCTAGTAATGCATAACTCTTACAATGTGGGGAAAAGGCAGAAATATCCCCTGAAGTTGCATCACACCCGACCACCAACATCCTTAAATATTCCTAGAAGTGATCAAGACGATTCTGCAGCTTTTTTATTGGCATGTTTCTGCACATAACCTTCTTTATCAGATTACGGATTTAAAAACAAAACAAAAACACACACCTAAAAAAAACAACTGAGTGAGAATATAAAGATCTTTCACCTCTGCTTATATGTGAAAAATTTTCCTGAAGGCTTCAGATAAAAATTAAATGCACTTTACTCAGATAGGGATTTAATATGCATAAGTGCACCCATGTAACACAAAATGTTCCAAGCATATACCTTTGTCACTCTGCAGCCTCCACATGCTTGGTTTTCTGCAGCTTGATCTGTAATCATATTTCACTCTCGTGTATCTATAATGAGAGACTGATGCTTATTTGACATTCAACAAAAAACAGAGAAATTGTTTTTCTTCATTTGAGCAAATTTGTCTCAAACTTGTCTTTTTTACCAAGTCAACACCTTTACTTTTAATATAATAAGCTGGTACAACCACTGCTGCAAATTGTGGTAAATAAAGTATGTGTTGTGTTTTTACACGAATAGCTGACACTAAATGGTGTTAAAGGTGTTCTAAAGAGATTTCTGTCTCAACATTTTATGCATGTCATATTTTTCACACCTCCTCCAAGCCTGGGATTGTTGATATTTTAATAGATCTGATCTAAATTTTTATCTAACCTCAAATAAAGTGTTTTTTGTGGACCATGCTAAGTCCAATATCCAAGTTGTTGTTAGTATGAGAGGTCAAGGTAAAGTTCTAAAGTAAATACTTTATAGCTTTATAGCCACATTTTGTATTGTTTTGAGTAGGAGAAGCCTCATCAGGATCTTTAAAGCACAGCCACTTTGGCGATATTCGGACTTGCAGGAAGTGATTTTGCATATTAAAGAACAGTTAAATCGCATCTGCGATATAATAAAATGCACATGCGAGATATCAAATCGCAAGTGCGAATTAAAAACAAAGAAAAAGTTAATGTCACCTCCCGGGCTTCATATTTATCAGCAGTAAAACACAGAGGAAACAATGCTGTGATCCAAAAACGAAATTCAAATTTTGAAAGGATTTTCGCATCCGAAAGTAACATTTTGGCACCACAGGTGTTTTTGGCATTACTAACAGATTTGATTTAAATGCAAACAATACCCTCCCTGCTATCCTCCATATTATCCATGAGTAGTTGATTGTTGCATACAGTGCTGACTTGTGGTTAGGTGGTTGACAAGTTAAACCCTATGATCAACCAGTAAATGTGTGCTGCATGTTTTTTTCTGTTATGGTCCCAAAAGTTCCCTGTTGGTTCTTTTTCTTTTCTTTTTTTTTTAATTCTCTTAAGATTTTCTTGTGGTTGTGTGTGTGTTCTTGTTCTTGCATAATTTATTTTTTGTGAATTCATTTAAAAACTGCAGAAAGCCAAGCCACACAGTCACACACACACACAGCTCCAGTTTGCACTTAGCCAAATGTATGTTAGGAAATGTTGAGTACCACAGTTCATTTAGCCAGAGTACAGAGAGACCTCTGCGGTGACTTAATGCCCGTGTAGGTCTAAGTGACAGATGGAGAGCACTTTAAGGTCTCTGCATGAGCCCATACAATATTAACTTTGTCTTAGTCAGCATCAAACATGTGAAAAATACAGCTGTGACTACTGTGAGGAGGATTTACGTGCAGGTCAGTGAGGGGGAGTTACTCCCGCAGCGCACAGGACAGAGCAGTCGGAGGTCACTAATCACCCAGCTTTTTGTGTTTGTCGGAGGAGTGGGGGGGTTCCTCAAGATGGTGGCACTAATGGCTCTAAATGGTGCCATTACAGAGAAAGGAGGTGTGTGTTTCAGGCAACTCAAAGAGATGGACACACAGCAGAATTTGCTTTACCTGAACTGCAACTTTCAGTTAAAGTCAGGGTTGCAGACTCAGACACAACGATCAGTAATCATGTGTGAGGCCATCAGGAGAGGCCAGGAACCCAGCTGCTAAGCACAGACCCTGTGGTGAAGGTCTGAGGGCCGGTACTTACTGTGTGTTGTGATCTCACCAGGTGTGAATAACTCCTTCAATGTTTTGGTTTCCGTGCTCGATGTCCGTGAATGACTAGCTCCATTCATAGACTATACTGGAGTGCTCAAACATAGAAGGGTCTCTTTCACGTTATTTCAGTCTCTTTATATCAAACATGTTGGCATTGTGAGGATTGTTTTGTGACTTGACAACCTACTAGAAAATCTAACCTCCTTATTCACTTTCCTCTAGGTGAGCTCCTTTTTGTTCCTGTTTCCATGGAAAAAAACAAAAACATGTCACCTTGTTTAGTTTTTTTTGCAATAAATGAACCTTCACCGGTCTGTTGTTGACATACATCACCAGATAATCTCCATGCTGGTTGGCTCTTTCACATTGTTAGCCTGTTCGTGTTGCCTAAGAATTCACATATAACAGTGTTTCAGTGTATTTACATGTCGTGTGAATGATTATTCACAGTCACAATGTACCGGCACCAGTCCTTTTTGGAGTATGAAAGATTGATATTAAGACAAAAACAAGCAAACGTTTATGCTGTGAGTTTAAAGCTGAGGTTCTATGTGAAAGGCTGCAAGTGAACCGGTTAAAGCAGATCTTTAAGAGATGATGAGACACTTTTAAAAACTGATATTCAGAGTTTTTGTAAATCCAAATGACACATTAGCGCTTGTTTTTCTTTGATTACAAATAATATAAACATGTAACTGTTTTAATATAGTTTCTGTAACGGAGATATCTATTTAAGTTTTCAATAAATAAGTATCCCAGTGATATCATTCATCTGCTTTTTATGGCCGTGATGATGGTGAGTTAAAAATCTGATATTGTGTCAGCCCTCTTTACACCTGAAACAACTTTTTCTCTTTACTGTCTTCATGAAAACAATATGGGTTTAGGACCTGCATGGTGACAGATCAGATTCTTAGTTTGCTTTTGAGGCCAGATGTTGCTTGAGTGTTTGAAATACAACAACATTTTGAACCCAGAAACCTGGTTTATACCTCACATACTATTGATTTTTCTCTACTTTATACTTTGGGTGTAATGTAGCACAAAAAGTGGAAGATTAAAACCTCTGCAGTTGTTTCTTCTCTTTTTCCACAACTTTATTTTAAACCCATTTTATTTCTCTTTCTCATTCTCTTTCAAGCAGCCGTGCGTGGTGTGCTGAGAGACCTTGAAATTGTAATTTCCGAGTGTAACTTATCTGTATACAGAGTAGAGCATGAATCAGACCTTTGCTATCAGAAAAACAGAACAGTCAATTGTTTGACCTGCAGAGGTGGTTTATTGTTTTCCATCTGCAGCATCCCTGTAGCCCTGAACCTAAGTGTCAGGTTAAGGAGGGTTACCTGCAGCACAGGATGATCGATGTGCTGTCCCAAAGAGACCCTGAGACCCTCAAAACAGGACTGCTGAGGTAGCTTCAGGATTCAGTTAAAGTTTCATTTAAAAAAAAAAAAAAAAAAGACCAGAATGAGGAGCATAGACTGGTGGCATTTAAAAAAGTCCATCAACACTTGCAGTAGCAAACTGTTCAATTACAACTGAAGTTTCAGCACCATGGACAGAGCTCTGTGTTTGCTGTATGTTGCCTGATGGTGTTGGCTACAGGAGTTGCTCCTATCGTAAAACCACATGTACATTTAAAAAGTTAAGTAAGGTTGAACAAAACCATCGTGTTAAAGTTAAAAATAAAAAAAAATAATAATAATAAAAAAATGAAAAAACCTCAGGTGAGATTCTCTCTAATGAAGCCAGCAGGATACAAGATCTGATTTCGCTGTTTACCTGCTGTGAAGAAAATTGTCAGAGATGATGCTCTGTAAATAGATCTGAAAACAATAAGAAACACTAAGGTATCTGATCCATGTTTTATTATAAAAGGGTGAATGTTTGTCTCTGGCTCATAACAAGTCTCCTGTTGACTTTTAAAGTCTGCTGGTGCTGTGGTTTTTGAAATTTGTTTTGATCAGTTACAATCAGTCATTTAGACAATTTAGAGAGCTGGAGCTGTCTCATTGCAGATGAGTTACTTGACTACATGCATCCACCTGCACTACACCCATCTTTGCATATCTCCTCTGCACTTATGTCTCTTGTGGATTAATCAGTCTCAGAGATTTAGCATATAAAAAATAATGACTCATGAATACAGCCTGATACATTTGCAGCAGCTGTGTAAACAGTAGTCCAGGTTTCTGCAGCCTACAGGAGATTTCAGAGGAGACTCATCGAAGCAGCTCAGCGGTCTGAGACAAACAGCAGGAATCCTGCTTCAGGAAAGCTGTGGGGCATCAGTAGTCACATCACATCATTGTGTTCCAACTGCAATTTTCAGCCGCTGAGTGTTGGAGAGTGCAAACAGAGAGAGGTAGGGGGAAAATTACAGTCGTCATCTCGGTGATGCAGCCTGTCTAATGGCACGGTGTGGAGGCTGCAGACACACCCGCACAACAAGCCTGCAGAGGAGGGAAAAATACATGGGTCTGATGGTAGAAAGAAGACAGAATTATATGTTAAACAGCAATGAATGACAAGAAGAGGGAGGCCAGAAAACACTAATTTCTGTCATCATTGAAATGGTGACTTAAATGAGACAAAAACAAAAACAATGGAGTTGAATTTGGGGGAAAAAAAACAAAAAAAAACTTTGCTTTAGTTTAACCTTACTTTTGTTTATTCAGGTGGTTTGATATTTATTTCAACAGCAGAGATGTGCATGTTTGCTCCGTTCAACAATTAAGTGTCCAGACAGCTCTACAATGCTAGAGTTCAAGTTTAAACATCTACCTGTCAGTTGGCCACTTTTAGCAAACTGAGTCTATGGTTGTCATCAGAGATGAGGACTCAAGGTTTCAGACTTGGTTGGGATCACACTTCAACATGACTTCAGACTTAATATTGTTTAATCTCCCAATCAATCGATGAGTGAACGATCATCACTTGCTTGTTCTTTGCGTTTGTTGTGAATAGCATCTACTCTGCAGGTGATCTGAGAGAAAGAAAGAAACATTACATACCTTCTTTCAATGACAGCTTACTGAGCCACCTCTGCTTGCCATAACTGGGTCAGGTGTGCACCATTTGAGGTCAGTGTGATGTAACCTAACAGTAAGGGACAAAGTTAAAAACGTTTTATTTTGAAGTGGGGGCTTTCATTTTGTAACTTCCTGTTTAGTGGGGACTTCCTGTTGGACAGTTTTTGGTTGCTGGAAGCACATGTTGGCAAATTTTGGTGAAACGGCCATCCATTCTTCTTCTGTTCCATTCTTGTGGCATTGCCAGTGAGTATATTATAATTTAAGAACCTGAGAAGCAAATGTATGTTAACATTTGATGCAGATTACCTCATTTTGTTGTATATTTATTTGATTCATTTTTGTAGTTAGCTGTGGCTAGCTTAATTTACCTCTTTAAGAGACAGTAATACTGACAGTTTGTAGCCAAGTGCTTGTTATATTTACCTTTAGTATTACCTGCCTGTAATATTTATATGTGTTATTTCTTTATTTATTTCAGTTTTACCTTTTCTTCATCAAATTCCTGCCAAATACACGTGGCCTGTTCATTGGAGGAACCTTTTGGAGAGATAAGTTATGCTAGCTGTTTTATACATATGAGGACAGTATAGTAGTCAGAGATGTGACATTTGCAGCCGATTTGATGTATACAAAAAGAAGTTAGTAAATACCATGATGTAATGGTAAGTTTAACACCTGAAGAGATTCTTAGTGGTATGGGGGTCATAGCTTGACTAATGGTTGACAACAAATACAGGGACATGGCATTTTACTGCAAATTGTGGTTAATTACTGCAAAAACAAGCAAAGAGATAAGGAATAAACTTCTTATATGGAACATGTTAATGGTGTAAATGTAAATGTGTGACATGTTGAAGTGTGGGGTGTTTTCAGTTAAAATCATACAGACAAATGTGCAAGGTACGGAGGGGTTCAGGCAGAATGAGCGAGAGCGAGCAGCAATGAACTTACCTGACTAATCTGCTGCCCCCAGTTACCATCCCAACATCACTGGTGTGATCTGTACAAGCTCACCGGGTTTTAATGGTCCAGAAGAACCATGAGCAGGAAATTAGACTCCAGAAATCAGGGAAGAGGTGTATTTATAGAGTTATGATCATTAGAAAAATACCTTCAGGAAGAAACGTGACCTTTTCACACCTCACTCCCCCGTATGTATACACTATATGCATATAACACTGAATTCGAAGCTTTGTTTGCAAAACTCAACCTAAACTCATAACAAATTGAAAACACTGACATGAACTACAACATAATAAAATATATTACTAAAATATAACAGTAGTGCAAAAACATTTCACAAAAATAGACACATCTCAGCATACGAATGCAATTTACAGTTTATGAAATGCTGCTCTTATATATGCAAGTGTAGTTTTGATTCTTGTTCTCCGGTATTCAGAGAAATGTTTTGACAGATTATGAAATGTTATCGCAGTTGACCACCATACAGATGACATACAGTTGGAGCTGTTTTGCTGAAGGAGAAGTGTGCTGATTAAAAGTTTGCAGAAAGAAAAGGGAAAAAATTAAAGAAAACACGGAGAAGCCCAAACAACTCAGGATTTAAAATATGAAAATAAATCTGCTGTTTATTCATGAAATTAAAGACCCTCAGGGCACCTTGGGGGTACTAGGGGAAGATAATGGCTAAGGTTAAAATGCATTCTTGGTTACAGTTTGGAAAGTGTTGCTGCAGCTTTAAGCTGCTGCTAAAATCAAATGCAGAATTTAACCCCCTCACTCAAACTAAACATGATTGCAACGTTAGTCTAACCCAGTTTAAAGTTGCAGGTTCTTGGCATCCTGATAAAGATGCATGTCTTTTTATATTTTTGTTACTACCATCACCTCTCACCTCCTCTGCTTTGAACTGACACTACTTATAAACATCAGCACAAACAACACGTCTAATGGGATGCTTTTCTCTCTTCTTGCTATGATCACTCTCTCCACTGTAATTATTTCATCCAGTTATCACAGCAGTGAAGACCAGCTCCCATTATGAGCCTCATTGATCTGCAGAAGAGACAATATGTGCTGGATTACAGATGGCGTATACAGTCTCTTCAAATAAAGAAGCTGCAAAGACAACACTCGGCACATTCAGGTGATGTTTGTACTGCAGGAGTTACAACACCCAGTAACAGAAGATCATCAACCTTTTTCCTAATTTCTGCTTCTGTGTCTAAAGGAAATGAACTAAATTTGTTTCTGATGCCAGAAGAGGAAGAAGAGCTAGTCTGGTTTTCATCTGTAAGGTAAATGCTCACACAGCCGCACACATTTTTGTATTTGCACCAACAAATCAAAGTCAGAAATATGTTATAAAAATATCATAAGATTTAATAAATGCATCTGGGTTTGATTTGCTACTGAGCGCACCATCAGTTGAATATGAAAACCTCTAATTATAAGTGAGGATCTGGTACTTTTTCAGAAATTTAAATCATTATTGGTGTATTTAAAATTATGTCTGAAAAGGAAAAGTGAAGAATTATGTATGTCTAGCTGGGGGTTATTCAGATCAAAGTCTAAACTACCAACCAAAGACGTGGAGAAGTTGGCGCAAAAAAAAATGTTGATTTAAAGATAATTTTATTGATTCAAAATGTGTCTATTTTTCCTTTTGTAGAACTCAAAAATGAGTCCCTTTGTCTTATTGTGGGAGGAACTAACATCAAATGTACATATTATTTTACAATGGCTTAACCCATTTAAGCCCACCGGCGACACTAGTCAGTGAAGAGCAATACAAATTAGTTATACCAAAAGAAAGAATTACTTAAAGGGGACCTGCCACCAAAATTTCATACCCATTTTTATCATTTTTTCATAATCCTTGATGTCCTCTGATAATGTTTGCAACATAATTTTAGCTGAAAAGTTATTTGATGGTTTGTTTTAGTATGCCTAAAAAACCTTACAGGAAAACCAACTGGTTTTGGCTCATTAACATTTATGGTAATGAGCTTTGCTCTGATTGGATCGCTGCTGTGAAGCCTGCTGTGCTCTGATTGGCTCAGCAGTGGAGGTTCGGATTTCGGTTTATCCCTTGTTATTATGCTAATGCTAATAGCATATGCTAATGTGTGCTAAAGTAAGGTACCCAGATGTCTTTAATGATATCCAGGGATATTCGATGCGGCGGCGGCGGTGCAGGGGCTGCAGGGGCTGTGTGATCACAGACAAAGTCTCGGTACTATTTAGTAGCAGCGCATGCCCCTTGTAATAACCCCCGTAAGAACTGTTGTTCAGGACTGCTAACTTGTGCTTCCTACCTATTCGGCTACTGTAATAACCATTGTTCGAGCCCACACGCAACATTTTTGCTCTCATTAATGAAACGCTTAAATCGGGGACATTTTCGGGGACAGCTTTTGCCGGGGACAGGTCATCCAATACGGGGACTGTCCCCGGAAATCGGGGACGTCTGGTCACCTTATGCTAAAGGCTAAAAACGGCAGGTATTAAACCATATATTTTAGACCCCGAGTCCGAAGAGGAGGTGGAAGTTGAGGAAGAAGCCGGAGACCTCCAGCGGTGTTTTCTCATTCATTCTGCCCGACTTTAAGTTCATTTTCCCGGCAGTGAACCGAAGTAAACACCGGTTGTTTGGAAGAGACCCATAGCGGATACAGTGGTAGCTGGGTCTCGCTCTGGCTGTGACTGAGTACGAGAACGAGAGAGTGGGCACGGCTCACCGAGGACGCGCTCGTGAATAATAATGAGCAAGGTCGGCGCAACGTAACACCGACAGGCTTTTTCAATTGGCCTGGTTTACTCGTTCCTTTATTTTAAACCTTTACAGAATGCAAACGACGTAACGGTTTGTTTTCACATTTACAACATAAGACGAACATAATATGGACCTTATCTGACACAAAAAAAAACAAAAATTACATTTTTATGGCAGGTCCCCTTTAAAGAAAATTATACTTAAAAGTAATACATGATTAAAATAAAACATTTAGCATATTCATTGCAATAGGCATGAAAAAAGCTTTGGCATCTTTCTGAATCAGCGTCCAAAGGGAAGAAGGTGAAACTCCAAAAAAAGAAAGGTCAGATCATGGCAGATAGTCTCTGCTTAGCATATTTAATGACAAAAATAGCAAAGTTTCATTAAAATGTATTCATATATCATCACAGATTACTTTAGGTTTTGGAGTATTGGATCCAGACCAAAAAAATCATGTCTCTGTGTTATTCCCAAATGGATGAAAGAATACCACCTACAGCTCAACTTCAGTCTAAGACTGAGCTCCTTGTCATTCCAGCCAGTCCTTCCTTACAACCACAGATTACGTTTCAGATCCAGTTTAGATCAAATTAACTTGTGCCCAATTAGTCTACTTAGAATCTGGATGTCATGATTGATGACCAACTATCCTTCAAGGCTTATGTCTCGACCCTGCCAGTTCACTCTCTATAACATTAGAAGGATCAGGCCCTACTTGGCAGAGCACACAACACAGCTCCTTGTCCAGGGTCTTATACAGTAATTGTATGCATTGACTACTGCAACTCCTTACTGGCAGGCCTCACTGAATGCACAGTCAAACCTCTGCAGATGATCCAAAATGCAGCTGCCAGTCTGGTTTTCAACCAACCCAAAACAACATTTCACTCTGCCGTTCATCTTTCTTGAACCACTTCTTGCTGACAAAACTGCAACTTAACCAGCTCCCACAGGTCTGCACTCCCTCTGCAAGCTACACTCTTCCAATGAAAGGCGCCTGATGCCCCCATCACGACAAAGCCTGAAGTCACTACCCAGACTGTTTTCCTCTATCAGCACTTCAAAACCCTATTAGATCTGTGGAGACCCTTTCTACCTTAAAGATAAAGCCCAAGACTCAGCTCTTTACAATACAACACAATACAACAACTGTATTTATCCCACAAGTGAAATTCATTTGTCTGGAATCTCATGATTTTTTCTTCTCTGGAAGGATAGTTAAACTGTGTAAATCAAGTCAGATGAGAAGAGAGGGGAACATGGTTAAAATCTCCTGGTACAAGTGCCTTAGGATGCTGAATCTGTATCCTAGCAACAGTAACATGGAGAATACATGTAGTATTGTTATGATATGGCTGAACTCCCTTGGAACAAAATATGAATGAGGAGGAACTACCAACAGTTCAATATCTGGAGATCACATCCTTCTTCTTTAGGTGTTAAGAGTTACACCATCTTTGGTTGACAAATAAAGCCAGACCTTCTCCTTTCTTCTTGCCACTAACTTTAGTATCTCTGTCTGACCTTATGAGAGTGAAGCCAGGTACATCCACACTGGAGTCCGAGTTGCTTTGATTCTACCAGGTTTCAGTAAAACACAGGAGACTGCACGCACGGTATGCTTCCTCAGTCTTAATCAATATAGCCAGCCCGTTGCTTTTGTTGGGCAGAGAGTTGATGGAAGAAAGGGTATATATCTCCACTTCCTAGCCTTCAACTTTGCCCTCATCTGTGCACCAGCACGGCAACCACAATAACACCTCCTGATGCCCTCTGGAATTGGATGTTGTCATCCACATTTGCTCTGTCTCAATGAAAGAAGATCTTCTCTTGAGCAAACTCCTCTCCCAATAGTAATATCCATCAGCAGCCATTAAAACTACAAAAAAAATAGAGCAAAAAGTGCAGAAAGCTCAGCTCTTCTCATCTGTTGTCCCCAGTGATAGAATGACTGAAACAAATGATTTAAACAGTCCCCTTCTACTTCTTGATCCACTTTTTGATCCGTCTCTGAATAGCTCTGGACTTAGTGTACCGAATAATGATAATAATGATATTAATGATAATGGTGGTACGATTATAGTGATGACAATGAGGATGTTACAGTGCCATTGTGACTGTATATGGAAGGTGCCTCACTTTAGTTGATGATGACGATGATGACGATGATGATGGTGGTGATGATAATGATGATGATGGTGGTGATGATGATGATGATGATTTGATACCCAAAAAGAAAAAGGTGAGTTACCTTATACACTGCATGACAGCAGTACTTGATGCAGTTTGAAGCACTTCATGCTGTTTCCTTCTGTCTAGATCTTTGATTGTGTTGTTCTTATTCATAAATTTAAGCTTTTTTTTCTCTTCCTTTTTTTTTTCACTTTACAGAGCCATCTCTGCAAAATAACCTGAGCTTAGAGACACATATACATGTAGTGTTTCACTAACTGTGTTGTTTAGGGTCGACCAAGGTCATATATTTTTTTATGTTATGTTGTTCATGCAGTGTGTTCTTACATCTCTGTTTTAATAGAGATGTCAGCCAAAATTCCTGCATAAATAAATATTAACTAATTAACGTATCTCTTTCCATTTGCCTGAAGAGCTCTTGCTTTTAATTAGAAGAGATGAGGATAGCGTTTCCTTGTACCATCACTTTTAATGATAAAGAACAGCTTCACTAAGTTTAAGATCCATCACATTCTGTCATTTTTTTCTCTTTGTTTATGCTTAAGGATTTTTTTTTCGTCCCGAATAGCAGCTGTAAAGTATGCACTTTATGAACTGTACTGATAAAACATTAAATCCACACATGGTTCTAATCAAATGTAAACGCTCAGTGTGTTGAGGCGGGGATCACATATGAAATCCAGGCCAAGTTTTGGACTGACTCCCCTCTTCCACCAAAAGTCAGCAAAGGCCTGATTAACACAGATATACTCATCCTCCTATACCCTTCTGACTACGCCCTATCATTCTACTGCCCTGTGCCCTGGCAGCTTGAGCTGCATGCTCTAGCTCCACCATGGAAATACACTCTACCGCTCGTCTACTGATTTAGGGAATATGCTCTACCTCCCCAACCCTACTTATTCAGTCTGTATGCTCTGCCTTCTCTATCACACCGATTCAGTCCAAGCGCACTACACCCTACCCTGCTAATTTAGGGTTAATACTCTACCTCCTCTCCCCTGCTGATTAAGGATGTTAGCTGTTCCTCCCCTTCCTAACCAATAAAGTCCATATGCCTGCTTTGCTAATCAAGTCTGTGTGCTCAAACTCCTCCACCTGCTGATATTAGCTCAAGGCTTTAAGTTTCATACACCACCAGTTCGAGCTGTACACTCGACCTCCCCTACTTTTCCAATACACCCCAGATCAGTGTTTGAATCTGACTGAGTGAAAACTGCTTTGCTGCTGTAAACACTGCTCTGTTTGCTTTCTCTTGTCCTGCTTTCTTGCACTTCTACTCCATCTTGGCTCTGGTATTCTGGAGTCCTCTGCAGCAGATACACATGGCCTTAACTTTTACCAGTGCCAGGCCACAAAGCATCAATCAGCACAGGGCAGATCTTGGGAGACAAAAAGTCAGACAGTGACACAACATTAAACATTTGGTTAATTTCCTAAATAAAATGCTGCATAGCCACATAACTACTAAAACCCATTATTGTGAGCAAAGCCACATGTGACATCAACAGGTCAGAGGTTTTACAGAGCTCATTGTGAAGGTAGAAAAACATAATTTGACACAGGAAAGCTTTGGTCTTGTGACTTCCACTGTCAGCCTTTCAGTGTTGACGGACAAGGGGTCATAAAGGCAAACCAGTTTGAAGCTGAGACAAACTGAATATTGGTCTGGCTGGCAATAGACTCTACCACCTCATACTCTGCTTTATGGCGAATGAGAAAAAAAAAAAGAGAGATCACAAGTATGAAAGAAAAGGTAAAAAAATAAAAAGTTAAATTCTTGTTTAATTTGAATTCAAGGCAGAGAGAGGGATGCAGACTTCTTTGTATAACCTTTTATCAGACAATGAAAAGCAATAAAACCCAGCGTAAAAACACCTCTCAGTACTGAGTGTACCAGTTTTGACACAAAGACAGACAGTAATGTTCACAGCCTCTTAGATTTCCATCTCGATTCATGTAGCTTGAATTATTCGTGCCCTTCAAATGCCAAACACCTCCCTGCGATGCGAGGCTTCAGCCTTCATTCACTTGCTCTACCTGCAAATCACCACGCTGTCACACCTGAAACCATGGCAACAGGCATCACAGTCTCCAAATGCACTCAGGCGTACAAACATATGAGACTTATCATGATGCATTTGCCTGCATATTAACATTCCTTTATTTTAGGATTAGTCAGTGCTGCAGGTAGAAATAACACAGGCGGAGTAACCTGCTGTATTCACAACAGGGGAGGCTGAAGGATTGTTTATGATGCACCAATACTGCCTGATATACAGGTACGGCTGACTGTTTTTCCAGCTTATCATCAATAATGAAAGCAAATGCTATGTCTTATATGACCATAAATCACAGACAAGAAAAAGATCAGACTTAAAGTAGCTAATAAAAACAAATCTGAGAATGGCCTTGTAAAGCTCCAAACCCACAGGATGTGTGTTGGGCGTGTCCTGTTACCGTGCTTGGAGCAGAGTAGCAGCTTGGCCCAGCTCTGTGCAGCTGGACTCCGTTTACAAAAAACAATGTGCTCATAATTAGTTGCTTTGCCTTCCTGTGGTCGATTCCCTGCTAATTTGAATATAATTCTGGGAATGTTGTGTTTCTACCGAATATGAACAAGCAATGTGATTTTAAAGTTTGGATTTTTGCAGTTTTAGCTATGTTAGGTATGTTCCACTTTGCTGTGCTGTTCCCTTCAGAGAGAGTTCCCAGTTAGAAGTCCTGTTGTGGTCCACATGAATCAGAAATTGACACTGGGGTTGTTCGATAGACTGTATATAGAATGGATGCCATCTGCCTCCTCGCTGGGTCTAGCCACTCTGAGAACAGCACACTCTGGTGACGGGCTGCAGTATAGGTCATAAATCCCGCCTCCTCCAGCAAAGTTTATGGAGCTGTGGACAAACTTTAGAAATTAATTACACAGAATATAAATGTTTCTCCCACCTGGTGCGATGTTGACATGTGGTTACTGTAAGACTGATTTGTGCTCAAATCCTCGTTTTTCTGTACAGCTCCATTTTTAAGTTATTAGGGGTTCATGTTTTCTATGATTGTGGTATATTTCATAGATACAAAGGTGCAAAAATGAACTACACAAAGACAGAATCAAGCTGGCAGCCTCTCGCGGGATTTGATTTTAGTTACAGCATCAAACACAGCTCATGACAATCAGACGGACAATGCTATTGCGCAAGTGATTACGTGCAATGTTGGTTTCAGGAAATGGAGAAAAGTCGCGGAAATGCAGAGAGGTTTTCAGCTTCAAATCCATATACTGGCGAAAGGTGGAACCAAGTTGTCCATAGTATATACAGTCTATGGGTTGTTCTGTGTTAATAAATCCAGAACCAGGAAGTTTTTCTCATCTACACGATCTAATAAACAGTCTGGAGTCCTACAATGGTGCGACACATACTGTGTGCAATGCTGCATTGATAAGAATGAAAATGTATTTACTGCGTAGCACCCAACTTTAATGAAAAACACCCGACATGAATCCTGTGGGTTTTAGGCTCAAAACTGTACTGCTGCAACCAAACCATACTTGCACAGAAAAAAATACATGAGCTTCATTGGGTTTATGTTGTCCACAACTTCTTACTTGTGTTAAATACTGGATTCTGATTGGTCGAAACCCCATAACAACTATGAATAATTCAAGGAACAAAGAAGTGACACTCGGGACATCCCGATCACATACCTCTAATCTCACCCTGTCTTGACCTTGTTGCATTTTCTTGTTGGACTGCCTGATCCCTCACAGTATTGTGGTTTGTTTGTGAATCTATAATTGACTCACTGTGCTATAACAGTTTTAAGATTAGATGAAGTGCCAACAAATTAGGTATGGTTTTATTATTTGATGTCAACGATTTTACGTTCATGAGAAAACTTTTGATAGGATTATTCAAATGTGATCCTGCAGATCATTCTTTGAGTTTTTGTTTCAGTGCAATATGAATTAAACATCACAGGTGATAACATTAATATGCTCTGGGTGCATTAGCAATCCCACGTTTGCTGTCCTCTGTTGAATCATTTTTTCATTGTTACTACACTCCTTCACGGAGGAGAGAAAGACTTACATTAAACAGGAAAAAATACCTTCAGAGTACATCTTACAGCCTGATCCATCCTCCACAGCCTCACAAGACTAATTTGGATTCAGTAATAATTCAAAATGCCACTAAATGACTCATACAATGTGAGCGCGGGACAGTATTGACAAGGGGAATGTTTAATTATGATAAGCAAGGAAAATCAAATTCATCATTTAAGAATTTTAATTGATTAATTCAAATCATTTTCCCCTTTACTGCTGCAGATAGGGAGCGGATGCCGAAAGGAATATGAGGAGAATTATGAAATGAAGCCTGTGCATTTGAAATGAATGATGTATTAGTTTAGGGGAGATTGGAAAGACTCTTTTGTCCGCACAGCCACAGTTACCAGCAGTGATTACACAACCATTTTACTGACAATCCATCCTCCTCCATTCAAAGTGCACCGTTGATTATGCATTTTTAGTATTTTATCGTCGTTATGAAAGGTTCTTGAGTTTAATTCACAGGCTGCAGATCATTCTCATTAACACATACATCATAAAAAATATATAACATATGATTGTCAAACCCTTTTCCGAACATTTCTCTGAGATTTCCTCATTATTATTCATGATTATCGAAGCTCAGATTCCCAAGAGTAAACCCTCATTAAAACACCAACACTGATGGGAATTCAAAGACAGAGAAGGAGTAGCTGCTGAGTCTGTTCGGTCTTTGCACTCATTTTATTTTGGGCATAATCTCTGTTTTTTTATGCACCAGTTTATGACAAATGTTACGTTTCAACAATGTGCTCTGTTCTTTTATCAGAGATATTTTAAATACTCTGTCAGTTTTAATGAAAGCACATGCCTTGGATTATAAATTGGTCTTCAGTCCGGAAGCCTGGAACTACCAATGTTTGGTTAAAAGCTGGCCCAAATTGAGTGTGTTTACATGATCAAAACTCATCAGATAACAAGCAAAAATCTGTGTTTGGCATAGATTTTAGGGAGCTTAGGGAGGGGAGGTCTGAAGATTCACCAGAAGAATAGTGTTTTTTTATTTTTATTTCTTCCGCAAAGATGGATGTGTTCAGGCTGTGACCCCTCAGAAGCACAGGGAATATTGTTCAGTCATGTACGGCTGAGCTAGAGCAGTTTCATATTTGATAGGGAAACATTATGGGCTCTATTTTCGTGCGCGCCGGTGAGGCGGCGGAAGGCGGCGAGCCCCGCGCAGTTGTATTTTCGTCTGGCGGAGCCCGGCGTAAGGCCAGTGTGGTATTTTCGTGGACTGAGCCGCACGGAGGCGAGCCGAGATCCGCCAAGCTGGGCGTGGTGGCGTGGCAGGGGGAGGTGTCGACAGAATCAGCTGGCGCAGTGACATTTTCGTGCTTGCCACCGGCGTGTAAAGTGCGCTGAAAGCTCGCCGATTCAAACCTGGACAGCTTTCAGCGCATGGCGGAGCGCAGCTGGTCTAGTGGTATTTTGGTAGACCAGCGGCGTATCGACATACGTCACTGATGCCTCACCGGCAGGTTTCCACAGTGTCAGACACATTTCAGTGCAATAAATAATCATCAACAACTATTAATCTGAGTCAGCACATACATTTAGATCTATATAGATATATTCTGATCTATATGTGATCTGATGAGCGCGTTTGGCACGCGTTTGGACACACAACCTGACCGAATCAACACAGCTGAAACCGCATCAAATTAAATTAAATATCTAGTAAATAAACACACATGATGAAGTTAACAAGATATGTAATGTGTCTCCCTCCTTTTCTTTCTTCCTCTTCCTCTTATTTCTCGCACAGCTCGACCTGGACATGTCTCCGTGTCCTCTGTCCGTCTTGCTGCTGCTGCGGCTGAACAGATGATTTGTTTCAGTGCTCAGATGCGTGATCTACTTTAAGCCGACATACGGATATTATAATATTCAGTTTTGTGGGCCAAATTTATTTTATATGCCAACATCTATGAAAGACAGAGCCAGGCCACGGAGCGCGATGCGTCATTTACGCACAGATGGTTCCGATTTTAATGCCATTTTTGGAGTTTATGTTGTGATCTGTGCGCTCAACCCACCTTTGTCACGTGAGGTTTGAATATATGCAACTTTATTTGAGTGTCTTTATTTGTGGAAAAGGGTGTTTGTCTTACCAGTGGGTCCAACATTACACACACCAAATCCATCTGCGCTTATATGAGAGGGTGTGGAGGACACTTGTTGAGGAGCTGCCCTCTGTCGCCATCTTGTGGCATTACTGTCTTCAGACATCTCTTGATCTCTTTGACTACTTCATGAAAATAGTAATACGCCTCGCCTGTGGCAGATTTAAAGGCAAGGAGAGGAGCTTATGTGATTGGTGAAAACAGGTCTCGGCTGTGTTAAACCCACTACACGCCCTCTCTCCTCCCCATCTACGACTTATGGTGCTGGGAGGAGCTGAGTTAGGGAGGGGGGATACTTACGCCGGGCTGCGCGGCTCACCAAAATACCAAAATGTGCTTGGGAACGCCTTGTCAGCGCGGCGGATCTGACTGACGCTGCGCTTGCGGCACGTCTCGAGGCACCAAAATAGAGCCCTATAAGGAACCATGCTGACCACACCCTCTGATGAAACTCAAAGTGTTTTGTGCACATCAAGAGCAACATCTTAAAATATGTTACCAAAAAAAAAAAATGATGCAGATATGTTTGATGGTCTCAGAGATTTAGTTAATAGAATACTGCAAGATGTTTCCTCCCTCTTTCCAAGATGCGCTGTAACTGTGATGAAATATGACCATATAGATGTGTTAAGGTGTTGACCACCATCATGCAGGGTGAGTTTGGGTCAGATTGGAGCATGCATGGCAAAGAAAAATACTACTTCCTGCCTGATGACAAAACACCGGATTTTAAGTCTTTGGGAACCACGTGTAAGAAAAGTCAGCTTTCTAGGTGAAACTGCTGGGAGAGGCAGTATTTTCAAAAATTACAGGGGGCACTAGTGAGTCAATTATCCCTGTCCAATTTTTAAAACCTATAAAATGTAACAATTTTTTCCTAGACCCAATAGATGTGCATACTTTTATGAGTTGTTAAGCATGTGAAGGCCCTCAAAACTGCCACGAAAGACACAGAATCAAAGTTATTTTATTCAGGTCCTCACACCTACTTGGTGCTCTGGTACAATAATAATAATAAACCTTATGCATACGGCAAAATTGGTTTACAAAGTGTTTGAAATGTCAAAAGAAAAGAATAGACAAATGTGGGAGTACAATTTCCAAAATTGTAAAAGTTTTGACAATGATGATTCAAGATCGGAGGTATGAGTCATAGACAGATAGATGGAAAGGGTAAGAAAATGAAATGATCAGAAGATTGTAAAAAATCACAATATTTCAACTTTCCTAGATTTAGTAGCGAAAAAATATATATGTATATATATATATATATTTGTTAACTACTGATGCATTGACAAAAATGTCCATGTCCTTAACAGTTTATCTGTTTACTCTGTTTAAACTTAAAGCTGTCTTTAATCATTGATTATAGAGCAGACTAAAATAAACAGAAATGTTCGTCTGTAATGCAGAAAAGTAAATGATACAAATAACAATTACTGTTTTATAAATTTCAGTACCTTAAACTTCTATGAGGGCGCAGGTGAGCTAAATAAACATCATGTTTCACTGTTAGACATTCTTAGTGAGTGACACATTTCTCTGTGAAAAGACACAAGGAGGAGATTTTTGTCAATTAACACAACTTTCACATGGTTGAAATGAAACCAGCATGATTAAAAAAGTACTAGTTTGTCCACAGGGGGCACTAGAGTCAACCTGGAAAGTTCCTCACAAGAGCTGTAAAAGAATGACATGATTGTTGTAGCCTAGCCAGTCAGGCAGTCTGTCCCTCCTCCTGCCGTGACAGAGAAGATCCCAACACAAAGATTTAATCCATGAAGATTGACTAATCTCTTCAAATCTACAGGCCGTATCTTGGGTTGATCTATCTTCTCATCTTCCCAGTTTGGATCCTTCTTCTTTCTTGGGTAAACAGATGATTCTAGAGGTTCGGCCCTAAGAGCCAAGGCATTCATGACCAACAGGAACTCCCCACGATATTGAAGACAACTGACTGTCTGCTGCAACCCAGCTGTGAAATCAGGTAAGGCTAAAATGACAGAAGTAATTGCTTTTGATAACTGTAATCTAAGTCCATATCCCTCATTTTATTAGGAGTGTCTACAATGTTGTTTGACATTTCTTTCTTCTTCTTTTTCTCTGTCCATTTCCACCCCTGCTGGCATTCTTCACTCATGCAGATGTAACAGAAAACAAGAAACCAGATTTTGCTTAACACAGGCAACTAATGAATCACATTTTGGGGTAAAAACCTAGGTGTGTTCAGATTTATATTAATCTGTGGATGATTTTTCTTCTATGATGTCAGATCACTCTGCGTACATGACTTCAGTGATCAGGTCCCTATATTGATTAAGGATCAGTTAATCAGTGCGCATGTAAACACTGCATGTAAGTATCAGCAGATGCCAAAAATAAAAAACCCTCACATGATGGTGAACAACTATTTCGTCTTTCTAGTGTGTGGACAGCAAAGGTATGACAAAGACAGTTTAATTCGCCAAAAAATCTGAGTCCACACTTCTATAACTGAAAATCTCTCAAAATCTCCCTGGGTTGGAAGCAACTTCAAGGTAAACAACCGTGGCAAGTGACAAGATGGTCAAAGAGATAAATGCATACAAGTAATCGTGTCATTTCATAATCTGCAGAGAAGGAATTATCTTGTTGAAGTTTCGTCTCATCACCTCTAAAGTCTGAGGTATTTACAGCCGTTCTGGATGATCACATTTAAACAGAAAGATCAGACTTTGCCTCTTCCTACCAAAATCTACAAGACCGACATGTTGATCTGTAAAAGTGGTCAAACTTTGTGGAAAGTCAGTTTTTAAAGATCATAAAACTCATCTGCCACACTTTATAATCTGCTGGTTCCTTTTTGTAAGACATAAAACAAATTATTTATACGAATAATATGTATTTTAAACCCTTCAGAATAATCTACTTTTGGAGAGGCAGGTCTAAGAAAGCAGAACGTTTTTTTCATCCTTTTCAGAATAAAGACCAAATCCACTTAAAACCCACTGCCTGTAAATCCTGATACCTATGTCTGAATGCAAAATCTGTGTGTCAGACTTGTTGGACAGTCTGAGAGCCCAATAAGGGTGAAGCAGATTAACACCAGATATGTTTATGGGCTCATGATTTGAAAAAGTAACTCATACATTGATGCTTGAAAAGGGTACAAATAAGTTCATATCATTTGCCTGATCCCAGCTCTAAACCACTTGAATAGACACATTTGTTTAAATGTCTGGAAAAGGTCGATTTGAGCTGATGGCTCAGTTTGACAGGAGCTTTGTCCACCTTCTTTTTTTCTGTCTGTGTCGTTAACTTTGTATCTTCATGTCCCATTAAAGTCACCAACACAGTCTTTTCTGTTCTCCATCATGCCGTAGGTTCCCCTGGATTGTGGCTGCAGACGTCCTGCTGTTGTGGACCTGTCTGCTTTCCAGCTGCTCCAACTACAAGCATTAGTCTCTTCTCTATTCGTCTCTCTCTTTCTCCATCTCTCCCCTCTCTTAATCCAGCTCAGTCTCAGCAGATGACTGTCTAATATGAGGTTAGACTGCTTGAGTTTTCTACCTGTTCAAGGAAGTTTTTCCTCTCCACTTTAACTTGATAAAGGCTGTAAAGTGCTTCATTTGTGGGTTTAGATGAAATGGTTCTGCTCTTACAGGATGGGGCTCATTTCAATCCCATCTTGACGTTGGGTCTTTGTAAAAAGAGCGGCTTTTTTTGTTAAGCATTTTGGAATGACACTTCTTGTGAATTGGTGCTTTGAAAGTTTTAGAGGCTCTATGGAGAAGACTATTGAGACCCATAAAATTATTTTTATTACCAGACCTGATGCTTGTGCAAAATTTGGTGAGTCTTGAAACCAGTTTGGATTTATTTTATGAGGAAGAAATCGTATAACAACTATTTGCATCCCAATAGAGTCCTCACACCATTCAATGCAAAGGCCATATTACAGATCTTTATTTCACTTTTTAGTTTGTTTAACACTCCATTTTCCCTCTCCAAAATGAATATAGTCTCATATCTCTAATGTAAATGTAAATGCTGAAAAAAGGAACAGACTGTTTGCTCCACTATGGTACTAGGATCACAGTATAAGACAAACAGAGCAGTGTGTGCAGGTCTGAGTAGTGGATCTGCATTGTTTATGTCTCAAGCTTTGGAAGAGAATCTGACTTGATTTGCCAGCAGAGAGCTGAACAACATTCAGGCAATCAGCCGCTCACAGGAAGCAGACAGACTCCATAGCAACAGCAGAAAGTTTGAGGAGTTGTGAGCTGGGAGCAGCGGCGGCAGCAGCAGTGCTTGTGTTGAGTCGTTGGACTGGAACAGATATACGTTAATTGGAAGTAAATCTGACAGCTCTAGGGGGAAAATGAGGTGTGGGAAGGAGGGGTAGCGGCACCATCAGCAGACACCTAGACCTAGGAATGCATTAAATAGCGAGCTTCAGATCTGAGGAGGGGACTTCAAACATCTTGTCCTCATTATGTATTTATTGTTTGCATTATAGCCCGTATTTCTCCCCACTTTGTACATCCAATCTGAGCAAGAAGTTGGGGTTCACCTGAGGTCTGCATTCAGGAATTTATTTCCAGGGAGGTTCTGTTTTTGAAAAATATTGTCTTTAATCTATTTCGCTTTCTGCACAGAGAGCTGGTGAATATAATCAGGAACAAAAGGAATAATGCTCTCAGACATCAAGACAGTGACGGAGGGTGTGGTGGTGATGGCGTTGGTGGATTGATGGGTGTGACTGGGAGGCTGGAGAAGAGGAGGGCAGGGATGCAGCTGAATGAAAGTGGTCTTTTCGAGTTTTCAGGTCAGACCGGGTGCTTTTGAAGCTGACAGCTCTCCCTGCACTGTGAAAGAGCTCGATGGGAAGTCAGGGGGAAAATATGGGCTTTGAAAAGAGAAGGGTCTGCAGTGAAGCCTGCTGCCAGCCCAGCTGAGATAAAAGCACAGGGAGATAATACAGAAATAATGGAGGAGTGTGTATCTTATTTTAGAAAAGTCTACTGATGAAAAGACATATTTCAGGTGCACACCAGTCCAAAAGACAGCAGTGTTTATCTCCCAATAACGACAAAAACAAAAAGAAAACAGTGCTACTATTTGAATTTGTGTTTTATCTAGGCCTAAATATATGCAGTCAGGGCACACCATACGGCAAAAATTTTATATTGTTGTTTATTATGTATCTTTTTTCTCTACATGTTTATTTTCAAACTTATTTTGCAAATAACTGACCGGGAAAACCAAGCCAAGTGCATGTTAGGTTGGATTCAGGCCCTTGTTTAATAATGGATGTACTGTATTTTGCACGTAACATTCAAATTTAGCAGTGTGGGTCTACTTACTCCTTTTTAAGAGTGTAGTGCACCTGTAGGCAGGTGCGATTCTATTCACACAGCAGATTTCAGTCTTTTCACAAAAATAAGCTTAGTCCAGAATTTTAAACTCCCCTCCTTGTAATGCGTGCATGTGTTGATGTTAAATCCATTGAATTAATTCCCCTAAACAGCAGAAACTGAAAGGCTTTCCATAGTGACTGAGATGCATATATGTGTGCATGTAGAACAACTTTGTTGGCTTTATAAAATAATTAAAACTTGGTACATGTAGGACAGATCCTCAACTGATGTCCACGTTTAATTTATTTTATGTACTTGACAGGCATCTAAAGGGAACTTTCTTTCAAATATTGCAGTACTGTTATGTATGCTGAATTATGCCTCTTGGGGAAACTTTTTTCATGTTAAATATGTCAGAGGGCAAACAAATTGCATTTTTCTTACATCTAATATACTGCAAAGGCATTGACAGGGCACTTTTCAGGCAATCCAAATGGCACTTTTAAATGTCTCTTTAATACTAGAAGGGCGTCAAAAGAACACCTCTTTTAACATTGTATTTTTCTGGAGGAATTTTCTTGATTTAAAAAACTGGAAAGGCATTCAAAAGGCAGTTTTCTAGGTTTTGTATCCTGAAATGAGTTTCTCAAGGGCAGTTTATTTATTTATTTTTTCTCCAATTTTCAAATATTTGAAGGGCAACAACAGAGCACCCTTTCATGTTTCACCCATTAGAAGAACAGCGACTGAAACAGCTTTTCATGCATTTCTTTCTAGAGGGGCATCTAGAGGGTGCAATTTATACTTATTTTTATTTAATGATGACAAACCAAGGGGGGGCGTTTTTGCAGCATTTTTCTGACATGAAGACAACAGGGAGAGTGATCACCACAGGCTGATTTAATCTAAACACCATTTTTTTTTTTTTAGGTTCTATAAAATCTACAAAGACTGAATGGTCTTTTTAAGGTTGTCTGTGATCCATCTCACAGTGTAAATGCAGGGTTTGAATCATTTGTCTTTCTTTGGCAAAACCAACTGACTGTGGGTAAACTCAGTATGCTACATTGTTGAACCAACTCTAGTTAATTCTCTCCTCTCCATACACCCATTATTTAACAAGGGCTAGCATCGCAAGATACAATTGTTTAAGCAGGATGGTGTTGGCATCCCCAGCTTTCAAGTCAGCACATCACGCATCCCTGTCCTGGTCCACCCACTCAAAAATATGTTTTCTGCCGGCTCTAAAAACCTATACAGAGACGGCAAAAATGCAAAATTAATCGCTGTTTCTGTCTCCTGTGAATCAGTTCGCAAACAGTGTCATCCATGAAATCCTGTTTTCACAGCTTGTAATGAAAGTACAATCTCCTGCTGAGTAGTTTTACTGTATCAGAAGGCATCTTTCAACTTTATTTTATTACATTTGACATCATGATCTATGCTGGCACTTCATAGTTTGATAGTACGATAAAGATATGATGGTAATGTTGATGTCAGTCTTGTATCTTTCCACATTTGTACCAGGAGATGTCAAATCATGCTGTAGATGAATGTTTCCTGAGCATTTTCATTAAACTTAGGATAAATCTATCATATAAAGCTGCCTATCAGAGTGTGACAGCCAGTGTGAGCAGGGAAATATGTTTGTTTTCCTCTGTCATCACCACTCAGTCTCACCTCCGGCTCATCGCCTCCCCCGTTATCTCACCTCCTGATAAACTGTGCCAAGATGTAAACGGGTGTCACAGGAAATGTGTTCCAGCAGGTACTTCCCTCATTTAGTTCCTGGGAATATTAGATAGCAGATATGTGGCGCAGCAGTTTGCCCTCAGTGTTTGTGTTTGTTTAGCTGCCATGTGGTTACACACAAACGCTCTGCACATCCTGACAGGACTTGGCAGCTTTTCTGTTTCATCCTAAAGCGGCAAAAGTAACACTGTGCCCTGTGTCCTGGAGCATCTG